GGTTTAGGGTTTAGGGTTCATATTAGGGATCCTAGTATAATTTAAGGAATATAACTTAAATCATATTAGGGATCCTACTATAATTACTATAATTCCTAAACCCTAAACCCCTAAACCCTAAACCCTAAACCCTAAACCCAAAACCCAAACATCCTACTATTATTTAAGGTATATTTCCGTTATGAACCTCTGATCTCGGAGGCCTGGAACGAGAACGTACCGTGTGACGAGAATCCCCAAGTCCCAGGCGCTGCACATCACCGGTTTTTCTGTGGAGGCACAGGACAAGGAGGTTTAGGGTTTAGGGTTTAGGCTTTAGGGTTCAGGGTTTAGGGTTTAGGGTTTAGGGTTTAGGGCCCCCAAACCCTAAACCCTAAACCCTAAACGGCCGGGGTGGAGGCGGCCCCCAGGGCCTGCCCTGTTCATCGAACGGTGGTCTGGCTTACAGCTGCCGCACTTCCGACTGTTTTCGGAGTTCTCTGAAACCAAGCTGCGACAGTTGTCGCAATGAAGGTCGTAGCTGTCGCACTGCTTTGATCATCTCGTGCCTAATGGATTTAGACCATGGCTAAAGAATGGTGCTATACCCTAAACCCTAAACCCTAAACCCTATACCCTAAACCCTAAACCCCAAACCCTACTAAACCCTAAACCCTAAACCCTAAACCCAAAACCCAAAACCGTTTGAATTACCACTCCGTCGGTCACACATCCTCCAGACAAGGCGGTGCAGATGTAATCTTACCAATTCTAAGATTCTAGGTAATATTATCAGAGGTACCCCTTAAAGGGTACCCCTTCTGAACCCTACTTTTGGCTCTCTTAAAAGGGACCTTATTGAGAGGGTCTATATCCCCAAGGGTCCCCCTAATACTAGCTTACAAATTCGGCAGTGGCTTCGCTAAAAGACTTGCGCCTAGTAGCGAGCCTTCGGGTTAGAGGGCTTCGGGTGATGGAGCCCCTCCCCAGAGACCCCCACGCCCCTTAATTAAGGAATATACCTTAAATCATATTATAGGATTTAGGGTTTAGGGTGTAATTAAGGAATATACCTTAAATTATAGTAGGATCCCGAATATGATTTAAGGTATACTCCTTAATTAAGGAATGTGCCTTAAGTTATAGTAGGATCCCTAATGTGATTTAAGGTTTACTCCTTAATGAAGCGGTATTGGAGTCTCGGGGTCATGTCCATCCAGCTTCGGAAATCAGGGTTTAGGGGTTTAGGGTTTAAGGCTTAAGGCTTGGGAGTTTAGGGTTTAGGAGTTTAGGGATCAGGGTTTAGGAGTTTAGGGTTTCTGGTTTAAGGTTTAGGGTTTAGGAGTGTAGGGTTTAGGATTTACGGGTCGGGTTGCAGATGGCGGATTGGAACTCAGTTTTGGGAAAACAAAACCGACCTTTAGGGTTTAGGGTTTAGGGCTTAGGGTTTCGGGTTTAGGGTTTAGGGTTTATGGTTTGGGGTTTAGGGTTTAGGGTTGCCAAACTCTATGCCACTGTTCTTTAAAGTGCTCTATCGAAGCAAAGCAGCATTCTCGAGGAAGCCCTTCTGCAGAACCTTCGGGGGCAGGACACATTGTGCTTAGTCCAGGGTTGAGCAGCTCAGCAGGTTTAGCGTTTCAGAGCCGATGGTCGATTTTCAGCTGGAGGATTTGCAAGGGGTCCAAAGCCCATAATGCGGGAATGGACGCTAGATCATAATGTAGGAACCTGATTAAGAAACCCTGGCCCTATAACCCCATTATATTAGGGCTCATATTAAGAACGCTAGTAACGGCCCAGGGTTTCTTAATCAGGTTCCTACATTACATGGTATGCCAGCGCAGACCCGAAAACACCTGAGTGCTCTATCTTGCCAGGAACCAGTCCAAGAGCACTCCTCTGGCTCCCAGGTTTAGGGTTTAGGGTTTAGGGTTTAGGGGTTTAGGGTTTAGGGGTTTAGGGTTTAGGGTTTTACGGTTTAGGGTTTAGGGTTTACCCAGGTTTAGGGTTTACCCAGGTTTAGGGTTTAGGGTTTAGGCTTTACACCTTGAGTCCAAAATGCGCACCACAACGCGGCGGGAGCACGGTCGGAATCCCCAGGAGCATGGTTCTTGGAGGTGCCAAAACGAGCCGCAGCCAAAACATGCGCGAGTTAGGGTTTAGGGGTTTAGGGTTTACGGTTTAGGGGACTTCGAGCGATTTGAAATCTACGGTGGCACGATTTCCAGCCGACAGCACCCCCGAAACAGCGGGAGTGCGCTGCATCAAGTTGGGGAGCGCGAAAGCATTGGGTTGTCTGATGAACTCCGAGCGGGGCTGTGGAAAGAACTCGACTTTCATCGAAAATGTACACGACCGCGCCTCGTGCGGACAGCGATGAACAGCCCGCAACCCTGCACACTGGAACCCCATACTGTTGCCACAAATTGTTTGTGGTATTTCCGGATCACGCTTGGTTTCGAGACCAACCTTTTCTCAAGAATGTTCGTATCTTTGGGGACACGACTTTGAGCATGCGTCTGGTTATTGTGTTTTCTCAACCTACCTTGTGACCACCTGACCAAAAACCAGGCCGTTCATGACATCTACAAGAGCAAGAAGCTGCTGAGAAGTGCAACGGACAATGGAAACCTGGCAATGAAGCAAATTGCTCAGTTTTCGTTGGTTTCGCATGTTCAGGGCTTCTATATGCCAGGTCCTCCCCTAAACCCTAACCCCTAAACCCTAAACCCTAAACCGCCTCGTCTACTTACGGCAACCATTATCATTATGTCGCCTCGTTCCTGACGTCCCCTGTAACCTGGCAGTGGTGTAACCATTTTCACTGATCAGCAGCAGCTACCACCACCACGACGACGACCTCTTCTACTACCTCCTACTACTACTACTACTACTACTACTACTACCACTACTGCCACTACTACGACTGCTACTGCCTGCTACTCTTACTACCACTGCTACACAGACCACTACCATCATCACGAAGCCTGCTTCTCCTCGTGCTGCGCCTCCTGCTGCGCCTCCTGGCACCCTGCTCCTTCTACTCCTGCTGCTACAGCAACTACTACTGCCACTACTGCTACTGCCACTACTCTTCCCAGAATCGAATGAATCCCGCCCTCAGCCTCAAAATGACACAACTCCAGTGTCGTTCCCTACTCCGGGACTATATATACCGTACGAAAACTGTTCATGTCTGTCGCGAGAAGCCAAAGGGATCCAAATTTAGAAACCAACTCAGGCGGCCTGTGCCACATCCGCATCTGTGCCACTTTTCTGCGGCTTGGCGTCGAACTTCTGTGGCACGCCTGAGCCAAAACCGTGGACCCTTAAACCCTAAACCCTAAACCAGAAACCCTAAACTGGAAACCCTGGACTCTATCCGCGGATCAGGGATCGGCACTCGAAACCCAGGTGTAGAGTTGGCTGAAGTTTCTTTGAACACTCGTTGGTTGAGTCATTGAGTGGGAGTTAGGATGAAGGGAACCCTTGGGGATATAGACCCTCTCAATAAGGCCACTTTTAAGAGAGCCAGAAGTAGGGTTCGGAAGGGTCCCCTTTAAGGGGTCTCCCCAGTACTACCTGAGATTGAAGGCCTTGAGCATGGGATCCCTACAACAATCCTGCCTAAACCCGAAGCCCTAAGCCTAAAAGCCGCTAAACACTCCGCACCGCAAGCATTCCTCCTCCTGTGGGCTTCGATTAGGGTTTAGGGTTTAGGGTTTCCTGCATGCAGATATGCATCCAAGTACCTTAGGCGTCCTTGTTGCTGTCGGCATCACTCAACATCTCGACCATATTGCCGGTGCCGCCCGTCACCCACATTTCGTGTAGGTCTTGTGATACTTTGAGCTTCCTCGCAGATCGCAGAGCTCCGCTGACAAAATGTGTAGAGCTTGACATCCATTCTGGCCCAAAGCTTTTTGTCCTCGATTTCTGCAAAGTGTTCCGTTCATGAGCATGGCCAAAAGGCGAAGGCCGATCTCATACCAACACCGCCACTCCTGCAACAAAGTGTCACTTACATTGAACGAGGCAGCTCGCTAAATACGACCTGTCGCGGGCTGCTGTGTCGCTGGCACTTCGAACGCGATACAGGAGCTCAGTATCAGCAGACGAGTTTAGGGTTTCAAGTTTAGGGTTATAGACAGCCAACCCCCCAAACCGCCAAAACTGACCACTCTGGAGTGTCACTATCCGAAGCTTCACTCTCAACGTGGTGGGTCCTACAACGGCACACCCAGAAGCCTTGCGCACGAAAATGGTGTCAGGCTTTGGCCTACGTAGGCCTATACACCCGAAAACCCGAAACCCTCAACCCTAAAGCCTAAACCCTCAACCCTAAACTCTAAAACCCTGAACCTTCATACCTTAAACCCTAAACCCTAAACTCTAAAACCGTAAACCTTCATACCTTAAAGCCTAAACCCTCAACCTTAAACTCTAAGACCCTAAACCTCAATACCTTAAACCCTAATCCCCAAACCCTGGATAACCTAAGGCACCAGTGGAAATCCTAAGCTCTTAACCCCACTTGGAGGGTCGGGAGACTTATCAAGTAGGTAGTAAGTAGACTTATAAGTACCCTAACAGGGACCCTAATTGGGGTTATGGTACTTATAAATCTATAAAATAACAATTTACTAAGTCCCCCGACCCTCCAAGCACGGGAAGGCTCATGGGACTTAGCGGCGAGGGTTCTACCTTTTTGTGTTTAGGCTTCTTAGGGTTTAGGGTTTAGGGTTTAGGGTTTAGGGTTTAGGGCTTAGGGTTTAGGGGTTTAGGGTTTAGGAGGTTTAGGGGTTTAGCCTTATAAGTCCAGCTATAAGTTTAGGCTTGAGGGTTTACCTTAACCTACTAAAACCTTCATTTTTTGGGGCTCTTATCATAAACATTAAAAAGGGAATTTATAGCTCTAGTTGCTTATAGCTTATAACCCCAACTGCGGTTTAGGGTTTAGGACGTGAACAAGTCCCATCATCCTCCAGGGAACCTTAAACTCGGTCGATGCCATGCGCTAAACCGCTAAACCCGATAAACCCTATACCCTGAGTCTAAACCCTAGACCCCAAACCCTGAGCCTAAACCCTATACCCTAAACCCTGAGCCTAGACACTAAGCCCTAAAGCCTATAAACCCTGAGTCCAAACCTCGAGCTTTCCAGTCCCAAGCTGGCCGTCCTAATGGGAAGCAGCAGCAAGCCCTGAACCCTGAGATTAGGGTTGAGGCTTTAGGGATTAGGGTTGAGGGTTTAGGGTTTAGGGTTTAGGGTTTAGGGTTTATAACACAACCCCCCTAAGGAAAACCCCTAAACGTGAAACCCCAAAACAAGCCCGGGAATCCAAAAACCATTGTAGGTTGTACTACTTACTACTTCCATCCGCCAAGTTTTTTTCATCTAAATCCCCCCCCCCCCGGGTTTAAATCCTGGCGTCTCTGATCCCTAAACCCTAAACCCTGACAGGATAACTTTCAGCCTAATCATTAAAACATGAACACGATAGAAGCCCAAGCACAAAAGTTCAAGAGGCCAACCAGAGAACTCTGAAGCCTAACACCCTAACCCCGAAACCCTAAACCCTAAACCCTAACCCCTAAACCCTAAACCCTAAACCCTAAACCCCTAAATCACACCCCAAAGCCCCAAAATCCTAAAGGAAGCACAAAAGTTCAAGAACTCTGAAGCCTAACCCCCTAACCCCGAAACCCTAAACCCTAAACCCCTTAATCAAACCCCAAAGTCCTGAAGGAAGAGGCCTTTCTGATCGAAGTAGTAGTCTCTCTTTTCCAGCTCTTGCTTCTCTGGCTCCTCGACAATGCTGTCGAACCTCAGGGTAGTTCTCTGTATTAGGGTCCCTTTGTGGGAACCCGAAATGTGGCGGCAAGCTTATAAAAAGGACCCGTGAAAAGGGACTCTAATTTGGATAACTACGGGTGAATCATGAAGGGATCCTTATCTTTAGAATAACTCATGTTGGACTTCTAATATTTACCGGCTATGCTTCACCCCAAATCGTAAACCCTCAACAACTACCACTAAACACTAATCCCAAAGCTCTGAGCTACCACTAAACCCTCAACCCTACAGCCTAACCCTTAAACCCTAAACCCCAAACCCCTAAACCCTAAACTACTACAACTAGGTTCCCCTGTAGCCCCTTAATGAGAAGGGTACCCGCGTCCCTAACTTTCTGGTTTAACAAGCGAACACAAAAAGAAAATTATTTTACTTCGAACATCCCCAGCACTCCAGGGAGTCTCACGCTAGTCTGTGGGGTTGGGCACTCCAGGGAGTCTCACGCTAGTCTGTGGGGTTGGGCACTCCAGGAGGTAGTCTCAGAGGGCGAGGAGCAATAGCTGACTTTAAAATCTAGCAATCCCACACCGAGGGTGGGGAACAACAAACACGACTGGAGGCCTCTCCGCTTTTGATGGAAACCTAAACCCTAAACCCTATACCCTAAACTCCAAACCCTAAACCCTACACTCTAAACTCATACATGACGAAACAACTTCGGCTTCCAGGGTATTTGAGGTCGAACGTGAGTTTTGCTACAGTAATTAAGTTTCAGGGTTTTTAGGGTTTGGGGTTTAGGGCCCAGATCTTCCAAGCTACACTTGCTAAGGAATACCCCCTAAATCTTTTCAGGGTTTAGGGTTTAGGGTTTAGGGTTTAGGATTTAGGGTATAGGGTTTAGGGTTTAGGGTTTAGGGTTTAGGGTAACTGAAAGTATATTCCCCTAAACCCTAAACCCTGAACCCCATGTTCCTTGACTAAGGGATCTTGGAAGAGCTGGCAGGGAGGGTTCTCTAAAGATTCTATAGGGGGCTTAAAGGTGTCTATGAGGGTTCTAGAATGGCTCTACTTAGAAAGGACCATGGGACTTAGTAGTTGAAGATATAAGAAAGGTAAGTACAGCTACAAGTACGTGTAAGATCCCCAACTAAGGTACTTGTAACCGTACTTACTAAGTCCGCTGATGCTGCAAGTATGAGGGCTCACTCAAGGAGTCAAGCTTTAGGGTGCTTTTGTCAGTCGTTGTTTTGCAGTTGGTTTGGACTGGCTTCTTCGCGATTAAGGCTTGGCGGCCTGTACGAGTTTACCATGACCAGCCAACGTTGATGATATAAATCCTGCATTACCCATACGAAGGAATATACCATACTTCCCCATAGTTTAGGGCCCTTAAACTTAAGGTAGTGCAGGATCTATATCATCAACAGTAGTATAGGTAGTTTTGACCCTAAACCCTAAACCCTAAACCCAATCATCAACAGTAGTATAGGTAAGTATCAAGGCCCCTATATAACGACTTCCAAGGCTCCTATAGCAATCGAAATGGACCGACCAACCTCCTCTAACTTACGCAAGAAACCTGATCTATCTAGGGTTTAGGGTTTAAGGTTTAGAGTTTAGGGTTTAGGGTTTAGGTATCCTCCCCCAGACCCTTTAAGCCCGAAACACACAGACCAGAAACGGTAATAAAGCTAAAACCCAAAAATCCTTTGCACAATAAAGCCCCAAAGCCCCACCACCTTCCAGAATCATTACAGCCCTCAAGGGAACCCTTGATAAAGGAACCCTTATAAAGCAACCTGCGAAGGAGCGCAAAACCCTAAACCTAAACCCTAAACTTAACAGTACCCGTTGAAGCCTTGAGTAGTCGTTGTTGTACTTCGCTGTCGATGTTGGCTCCGTGCCATCAGGAAGGTCTGCTTCCCAACCTGCGGTGAAGGGTTTAGGGTTTAGGGTTTTTATCGGTTCAAAACCCGCAAAACACGAAACACGTCCTGTAGGGGACTTAATAAATACAGAGGGTTCCAGTTAAAGGGGCATATGAGGGCCACCACGGTGACTAAGGTGTACTACAAGGGCTACTATCAAAAATATGTCATATTCCCTAAACACAAACCCTTAAGGCGCCTTGATAATTTGAGGGTTCGGGTTTAGGGTTTAGGGTTTGGGGTTTGGGGTTTAGGGTTTCGGGTTTGGGGTTTAGGGTTTAGGGTTTAGAGTTTAGGGTTTAGGGAGGTGCAGGGCTCATCCTACCAAGATCCTCAGTCCCTAACCCTGTACGGTTCTATGTTCCGCCCCAAACACCCTCGATCTGGAGTGAGTAACTTTATATGCCATACCCTTCAACCCATTCTCTCGCCATTGACCTCCATGCCCCTACGAGTACCTGAGGGTCGTTTTGGAACTCCTTTTGCCTGATCTCAAGCTTCGAGGACTGAGTACTTGAGGGTTTAGGGCCTAGGGTTTTGGTTTACTAGCGAAGTATGTGCAGTCGCAGTAAGAACTTAGCATCCTGACTCCGAGTGCACCTGTCGCCAAACTCAGCCCAAAAATCCAAGTCCCAAGACGCCATGAAAGTTAGCTCTTGACATAAGATCTAGGGCTTAGTGCTTAGGGTTTCAGGTGTAGTTTAGGGCTTGACTTTTGGGCTTGCATTTGGGGATTGGGATTGAGTCTAAGTCCCTCGCAACTGAACTGTCGTCGATGTTGCAGTCACATAAATCTGAGGCAAGTGGTAAAGTTAAGCCTAAACGCCGAAAACCCCCCCAAACTCAAGACAAAAAAAAGAAGCCCTAAACCCTAACTCCTAAACCCTAAACCCTAAAGGCCCTGAACCCTAATTTTTACAAAAAGCCCTAAACCCTAAAGGCCCCGAAGGAGACGCTTCGAGGCTCCTCTGAGTTGCTGCTAAGCGTCGGTCTTTCTCTAAACCCTATAAACCCTAAACCCTAAACCCTAAACCCTAAACCCTAAACCCTGAACCCTAAACCCTAAACCCTAAACCCTAAGGAGACGCTCTGAGTTGCTGCTAAGCGTCGGTCTTTCTC